GATTCTACTGGTGTTACCATCCAGTTCAGTTTAATCTCAGCGAATGTTTTATATCACCTGTGCAGAAAACAAAGAAACTCTCAGACCTCATTATCCTACTTTTGCTAGTTCTAGCTATTCCTAGTTTAAGGCCAGGTAAATCTCTCCTAGTACTCTCAGACCTCATTATCCTACTTTTGCTACTTCTAGCTATTCCTAGTTTAAGGCCAGATAAATCTCTCCTAGTTCCTAGTTCTTCTGTTTGTTTAAAAACAATTCTCATCCAAGTTAGCATCTGCATTCTATTATTTTTTTGTTGTTGTTTCACCTTCAAACAGCAAAGTTTATTTAAAATACCCCAAAACACAGGAAGTATTTTCAATAGGACTTCTATCTTTTTTCATTTAGTTTCCAAATTGATGGGAAAACCCTTAAGAACTCTCTAATCTCTCTCCTGGCTTGCCTTAAATGAAGTAGCGGGCCTCTTCATGGCCAACTTTCTCACAGGATGGCAACAGCGTTTGAGTGGATTTGTTTGGATTCCTGCCGAAATACTTTGTTTTACAAAATACACTTAACATGCTTTCAAGCTTTGCTTGTTTTGTTCATTCAGCTATAATCCCTGCTTTTCCTATTAAGGATGTTCTTAGCTTAGTCACAAATGGCCACTTCTGCTGCATACAGTCATTTTGGCTCCGAAGCAGAGCCCAGTTTCAAGTGTTTTCTGGGTGCTTTGTGATTATTCTTCTGTATGTCCAATGCTTGTCTTGGTCTGAATATTGACAGTGGATTAGAGTGTTTATTTTTTGTATTTGCCCCAGGAACCAGAGAGCTGACGCACATTAAAATACTTAAATCCCTTCTCTATAAATGGCAGCTCCTCACCTCTTAATCACAAATCTGCCAGGATTTTTCTGTCATTGCTTGAACTGAACTTAAACCTTTTTTTCTTTTAAGACATTCTGCAGATCCATCCAAGATGACCCACTTACAACCTATGCAGTCCCCTCTACGTGTCCACGTTGAGCAGTGTTTTCTGCTTTATGGCCTCAAGAAGCAAAGAGGGGGACTCAAGCACAACTGTTTTAAGAACAGCCTCTACTTTATTATGCACGGAAAAACATCTTGTGTGAGCTCAGCTCGTTAACCAAGTATTTGAAGCAACTTCACCCCTGCAGAGAAGGGGCAGGCTGTGCAGCTTGTCCAAGTAGTTGTCATCAACTTCTGTCCTTCCCCTCTTGAACTGCCCAGCCCCGGCACCGCAAAGCGGATGGACAAAGGCAGGACAGCAAACAAGCAGCTGTGGCCGAGGAGAACAAGTGTGGGTTTGTCTCATCTACAGTGGAGGGCTCTGCTTCTCACCCTGCTGCCACAGATAACACAGCCATAGCTACGTGCCAACCAAGATATCCTAAACCCGTGCTGCGGCAGGGAAGAGGGAGCTGAGAAAGTCTGATGCCGCTGTGTCAGCGGGGCTCTGCACCCCAAAAACCAGACGGTGGTGAGAAGGGGCGTACTGTACATCAGCATGTTGGAGTCATCATCCCCAACCCTGACAAACTCTCCACGCTGAGGTATACAAAGGACTTGGCTAAACCAGTTTTTACCTATAGGATTATCAATAGAAATGGCACGCACATCTACGGTGCCAGACCCCAAAAGCAACAACTACATTTTGGCAGAGGCAGAGAAGCCAAAAGCATTCTCCAAAATACTCATTTCTGCAGCCTTGGTACCTGGAGCTTTTGGGATTAGCCAGTCCTTTGGCAGTCTGGTACATCTAGAAAATACAGATCGCTAACTAGATTACCCAGGCAATTCCTCTATTCCAAAATCACTGATCTTTCTAAGGGAATCTAACTTAGTTCTACTTCCATTTATGGGGTAGGTTTTTGTCTTAGTATTTCAGGTAAAAGCTAGGAAATAGATCCAGCCCAAAAGCCCAAGGCAAAGATCTTCCAGAAGACACCAGGAGGAACTTGAGCATAAACTTGATGCAAAGATTAGGATCAGGGTAACCTCACTAAGGAGTGGCAGTTAAGAGTCTCTGAAATGAGCTACTGATAAGCCAAAAGAGGCTATGGTAGGAGGAAATAAGCAAGAGGAAGCAGAAGGAAGAAATGTTTAAAATGCACAGAAATACCTTATTTGACAGCAAACACACAAATACTGGGAGAGTCTGGCTGTCTCCCAGCTCACACAAACAGAAACAGACCATCCATCCTCTGGAAATGACCCCAGCACAGGTAACCTGTAGGTGTGCAGAAAGTCCAATAGGTCCCAGATGTGCTGGAGTCACCACTCATGCACAGGTCAACTGCAGGACCTCCGCAGGATGTCTACAATCAGATATCATGATGAAGAAAAACTCATTGCTCCATACACACACAACGAGCCCAACGAACGTGACCGCATCCATCTGATACACAGGGAACAGTTCTGCACAGTAATGTATTCCTTGCAGAACACATTAGGCTTCAAAACTGTCCAATTTTAAAAATGAAGCCATCTTCTCCCAGGAACTGGAAAGGCCACAGAAAAACTTGTAAGCCTAGATTGAAATTCACTAGCTTAATCCCTTCACTTTGAGCAGTTGCCGCTCCGAAAGATTTCTCGCAGCTCAGGGAAGCTACTTCTGTTCACCCGGCTTGAAATAAAACACTTACAGCTCTAGGTATGGTTGTAAACAGGCCCTTTCTATCAATTCATTAATAGAAAAAAATGAGCTTTTTCCAGCATGCTGCCTTTCCCATGCCCTTTCACCAGCTTCTCTCTGAACACCAAAGACTGCCAAATATTCTGAAAGAGGTACTCTGGCTGCTCTGCTGCCAGATCCCTGTAGGAAAAGCAGGTTGAAACCCTCACCAGATGCAGCAAGTGAGCATCATTGGATATAACTGTTAGATTGTTTGCACACGCTTTAATGATTGTCACTTGTTAAGCAAAAGGGGGGGGAAAGCATACAAGATGAGAAGAGGTTATGGAGTTCATTTATGAAAGAATTAGACATGTGATTTTAATTTATTTGCTTGGAAAAGGTGTTTGGGAAGCTGAAACAATATAAGTAGGATATTATTTTAGTATAAATAATGCAGTCAGAGAGAGGAAAGTCACCACATGTCATTTGAAATATACTTGTTTTTTTTACAACTTTGATAGATTAAACACAGAGATGACAGCCATAAAACCAAAGCAGAACAACACCTTAAAGCACCTGCCCTACAATAACACAGATCAGCCAGCCACTGTCTTCCAAGAAGGAGAGATGTGTATTTGAGAACAATCTAGTCTAGGAAGCTCTGAGACAAAGCCCCAAGTGTTTCAATCCTACCAGAGGAGAAGCTGAGATGGAATCTCAGAGAGGGGCTGCAAATTCTGTGGGAGGGAACACAAGTACCCACGCTTTTGAACCCAGACAGACGCAGGCTCTGGAAGCCCTGGGATGCTTCACCGCCTCTCAAGTGAAGGAGGAAGGAAACTGAACAGACTTTCACCAAAATTGGACTGCCTCCCTCTCCCCCACATCCCATACCTTACCCTCTTTACCCTTATACCAAAGCTGGTAAAGGCACAGCCCTGCAGCAAGTCAGACCTGGCTGGAATCTGTTGTTTTCCCCATTGGCTGATGTTTCTGGCATCCCCTGAGATCTGTGCCTGCTGAGTGAGGGTCTATAGGTGCCATTCCATCCAGCTTCTGAACCAGGGGTCTGTGGGGGGTATTAGGTGATTTTAGGGACCTACCTGCTAAAATTTAAGGGCATCAGACAACACACAGCATACACCTGTAGGTACCTAAAAAGCTTTCAGGTAAAATGCAGGTAGTATGCCAAGACATCTCAGGGTTCAACTTTGGATCTAAGCATCTTTCAGCGGGTGGGAGGGGGGTTTGGCACATCTGGCCTTTTCCTCAACTTAAGTCTCACCCTCCCTTGGTAAGGTGAATCAGAACCCTTCAGTGATTTCTTGAAGGAAGCTGGGAGCTGGTAGGAGAGCAGCAGGAGCCTGCCCAGAGGCAGGCGAGCACCGATGCTGCATCTGATCTTGCTTGTCATGGCACTTGGCAGGGCGTACGCACGCTGCCACACTCGGATCAGATGTGTCTGCCAGGTCAGGTCACCACTTGAAAATCCTTGACGTGGCCACCACCTCCGACAGCCCACGCTCTTCCCAGTGGGAATGCCAGGCACATGCTCTCCAGGAAGCCTGGGACGGGGGGCTCCTTGGGGGCTAAAAAAAAAAAAAAAAAACACCCAAAAAAACCCCCCGCCGTAGGAGTGGTACAATTAAACCGGTTTCATTTTCAGTGCGAGATTTCCTTTCAGGGAGGAAAGGACTCACACTTCAGGAAACACGTTGCCCTCTGCCAGAGCCTGCTCTAAGGAGCCGGGGGACTCGCTGCCCAGAAGGATGCCCGCCGACGGGGCTACCGAAACAGCCAGCCGGGAGGAAGAGGGGACCAGAGGAAGGCGCACCCCCCCTTCTCACCGGCCGGGAGGGACCGGGGGATGCCGAGGCACGACCCTCGGCGGGCAGAGCGGCTGCTGGTTCGGGCAGCGGCAGCCCCGAGCCTCCGCTGGCTAAAGTCGGGTGTCCCCCAGCCCCACCGCCCCCCAAAAACAGCCCGTTGGTGCAGCGCACACTGAGGGGGAGTCCCCCCCGCCACCGCCCCGCAGAAGCCCCCCTCCCCCTTGTCGTCCTGCACCATGCCGATGGTACCGCCCGTGTTGATGACCAGCACCCGCGCCTTGGCCTCCGAGCCGCCGGCGGAGGCCGGGGGGCAACCGAGGCGCTCCTGGGGGCGACCACCGGCCAGGGCTCTGCCCAGAGAGCGCGACCCCGCAAGGGGCTGCTGCTCCGCTGCTGCTGCTGCCGCCTCCATCCCGGTCCCGCTCCTCAGGAACCGCTACCTCCCGCCCAGCCCGGCGAAGGGGGAGTTATAGGGCGGCCGCTGGGCCGCCCCTTCCCGCCCCGCCGCGGGGTGGGGCCTGGCCGGGCCGCGGCGCTGCCCTCAGGGGCGGGGAGAGCCGCCATGCCCGCCCTGAGGAGAGGGCGGTGAGGAGGCGGCGGCCGGAGTTCGAGGCCTGAGGGCGGCCGTGAGGTAAGAACCGGGAAGGGGGCGGGCGGGGGGGACCCATGGCCCCGGGGGGAAGGTGAGGGAGAGGGGGGGGCCGGGCAGGGCCGGGCCGGCACCACCCCTTGTACTTTGCACCGCCGCGGCCGCCGGGCAGCGCCAGGCCCCGGGGGGAAGCGTCAAGGTCCTTCATGCTTGGAAGGAGAAGCAACAAGCAGTGGTGATTTTTTAGGCCCGGAAGTAAGAAAAGGGGTAAACACAGGGCTCGGGGTCACCACCGGTGAGAAGACCTGCATCATCCCCCTCTTTTTAAATGACAGGACGAGGAGTAATGGCTTCAAACTGGAGGAGGGTAGGTTTAGATCAGGTATCAGGAAGAAATTTTTCACTCTGAGACACTGGAACAGGTTGCCCAGAGAAGCTGTGGCTGCCCCGTCCCTGGAGGGGTTCAAGGCCAGGCTGGATGGGGCTTGGAGCAACCTGGTCTGGTGGGAGGTGTCCCTGCCCAGGGCAGGGGGGTTGGAATTAGATGATCTTTAAGGTGCCTTCCAACCCAAACCATTCTATGAATCTATGATTTTTCCAGAAAGGAAGCAGGCAGGAACTTCTTGAGCTTACCTGGCCTCTGAGGAGACTCGTTCCTCCAAGCATGGTTTGGGCAGCGACCCCTAAACCCCCATTTCAGCTTCCTAATCTGGACCCACAGTTTTCATCCAAGTTTTCTTGCACGAGAGGAAAGAGCTTTTACCTTCAGGCTGCACATCCAGCCCTGGGCCAAATGGGGACAGTCTGGTATGGTACTGCCTGCTAACACCTGTAATACAGAACATAAGGGTTCTGCTGGAAAGGTCTCTGAGCAAAAATGAGAGCTGTGGAGTAAGTAACAGTCAGCAGCCTGAAAACTCACAACCTGTCCAGACTGATCTCTTAGTTAAATCCAGCATCCACATACAGTCCTCTCGTGTGGTAGCATTAGCCCACAGATTCCTTTATTTGAGCTCTTCTGTCCCTTTGAGGACATTCACCCTCAAGGACGGGTATTTTCCTGGAAACCTGTGACTACAAAATGATTCTTGATACAGTCAGATCCAACATGCAATTGTTGAGGATAGCTTGTGTTTTTCAACAGTCTTTCCAAAAGTGCTCAGGGAAAAACAAGCTAACGGTAAAAAGTTGTGCATGTGACAATACCATCTCTATCCATGTAACTGGCACCTCTGAGAAAGAAATGAGAATAAAAAGAAGGTGAAAGCTTACTACTTCAGCCTTTGATCTGTTTTATCCTGATGATCACCACTGCTGTCAGTGGCTGTATCTGCACAAAGCAAGTTATCGCCAGGAGCTGAATGCCCTGATCCTGAAAAGGATTTTTTTCCATGTATTTTACCCCTACTTTAAAGTAGGGGTACTTTAGAGTCTTTGGTGATGCAGAGAAGAACAGAGAGGAAACAGGTTTAGGAAGCCGTGACAAGCACATCTACCTCATTTCAGTGCTCCATGAGAAACAGCAGCAGTATTATTGTCCATATTCCTGGTGATGCTAAACCAGTTTTTACCTATAGGATTATCAATAGAAATGGCACGCACATCTACGGTGCCAGACCCCAAAAGTAACAACTACATTTTTGCAAAGGCAGAGAAGCCGAAAGCATTCTCCAAAATATTCATTTCTGCAGCCTTGGTACCTGGAGCTTTCAGGATTAGCCAGTCCTTTGGCAGTCTGGTACATCTAGAAAATAGAGATAGCTAACTAGATTACCCAGGCAATTCCTCTATTCCAAAATCACTGATCTTTCTACGGGAATCTAACTTAGTTCTACTTACATTTATTGGGTAGGTTTTTATCTTCCTGAAGGCACCAGGAGGAACTTGAGCATAAACTTGATGCAAAGATTAGGATCAGGGTAACCTCACTAAGGAGTGGCAGTTAAGAGTCTCTGAAATGAGCTACTGATAAGCCAAAAGAGGCTATGGTAGGAGGAAATAAGCAAGAGGAAGCAGAAGGAAGAAATGTTTAAAATGCACAGAAATACCTTATTTGACAGCAAACACACAAATACTGGGAGAGTCTGGCTGTCTCCCAGCTCACACAAACAGAAACAGACCATCCATCCTCTGGAAATGACCCCAGCACAGGTAACCTGTAGGTGTGCAGAAAGTCCAATAGGTCCCAGATGTGCTGGAGTCACCACTCATGCACAGGTCAACTGCAGGACCTCCGCAGGATGTCTACAATCAGATATCATGATGAAGAAAAACTCATTGCTCCATACACACACAACGAGCCCAACGAACGTGACCGCATCCATCTGATACACAGGGAACAGTTCTACACAGGAACATATTCCTTGCAGAACACATTAGGCTTCTCAAAACTGTCCAATTTTAAAAATGAAGCCATCTTCTCCCAGGAACCGAAAAGGCCACAGAAAAGCTTTTATGCCTAGACTGAAATTCATTAGGTAGAAGCCTAGCTTAATCCCTTCACTTTGAGCAGTTGCTGCTCCAAAAGGCTTCTCGCAGCTCAGGGAAGCTACTTCTGTTCACCCAGCTTGAGATAAAACAATTATAGCTCTAAGTATGGTTGTAAACAGGCCCTTTCTATTAATTCATTAATAATAAAAAAAAAAATGAGCTTTTTCCAGCATGCTGCCTTTCCCATGCCCTTTCACCAGCTTCTCTCTGAACACCAAAGACTGCCAAATATCCTGAAAGAGGTACTCTGGCTTCACCCACCTCCTGTCACCTCTTTGTCACATGGAACCCATCTCTGGTAGTCTGTGTTCCTCACAGACAGCTTTCTAGCTGTAGAAGCCCAAGCCCTGCCAATAACATCTGCTGCACAGCTGGCTGTTAATCTGCAGAATGTGTTTGCCCCAGCCCAGGTCTTTCTCTTTGTCCAGCAGGAGCAAGAAAAATGTCACCTGGGCTCCCATCACTGTTGCTGCTCATAAGAAACAGAAAGTAATTTGAGATGATTGTTTTACCAAAACAAACAAACAAAAAGTTTAATACAATGCACAGCATAAAATATGTCTGTACGTGTAAACTGGGGACTCAGTTCCCAGTTTACGATCATAATGATACTGAATTTTTGGAAGTGATAAATCAGTGAGGATTAACACAGTTTCAAATAGATGGCTTTATGACACTGTATTTGTACTTGACTTCAGTATACAGAGCTCTTTAGAAATTAGTTCACATGAAACATGTATTTCCCAGATATTTTATATGTGTAAATATAAAATTCCACCAATACATTCCAAGTCATGTCTCTCATAGAGCTCTCAATGGGCTTAAGCATCAACAATTTACCAGACCATAATTAACAGTGTTATTGGGATATCTGAAATTTAGCTTGTGCTCAAGTGATGGGAAGCAAGAATAGCACCTGCATCAGAAAATCACCTTTTTCACTGGATAGAAATCCATGGAATTCCTAGTAATTCAGAAACCAAAGGGGTCAACACCATCTATCTCATGAAAAGGTCTAGTCATCTGTCTGGATTGGTGAGACAAGTACCTGGTAGTCTTAGTCACTGCTGCTTCTCCCTCCCTCCCTCCCTCTTTTTCTTCATTTCACAGCTGGACTTTCCCCTCAGCTCTCTCTCCCCAGTCTTTCACATTTTGTCCTTTAAGTCATGGTTCCCTCGTGCTTGATTAAGCAGGTTTTGGACCTCCCACTTTACCCTGGTCTCTTCATTCATATCCCACTTCACGTGCAGCTGAACCATGAATCAAAATCAGCGAAGGTTAAAAAATAATCCTGGAGAAAAAAGGTTGAAGAGCAGAGTGGTTTTAAGCTGGGGCAGTTTTCTGATCCAGGCTGGTGCAACAGCCCACTAATTGTTATACTGGAAAATCAAAAGTGGCAAGAATAGAGATGGAAGCAAAAGGCTGAGGGGTAGGAAGGTCTTAAATCAACTCCTGCGCTGAGCAAGATGCCCACAGAACTGCGGCCTCAATCCCAAATCCTGGGAGGAACCTGACTGGGGAAAAAGGAAGGGAAAAGGAATGCATTTCTTTTTTTCCTCCTCTCTAATGGGGTATAATAGAATAAAGCTGTTACCCCTCACCTTGATGTAGACATTTATCAAGAACAAAAGCTTGTAATTTTTCAGTATTCACTCCCCTGTGTCAGTGCAGGAACGGAACCGCCCAGCAAGAGGTTTTCTGCCAAGTTTTATATGAACTTTAAACACAACTTTCTAAATAAACAAACGTTTTTATTCTGCTGCAGGAAACCATTTTTTCAAAAAAATGAGAAATGTGTGGCTAATTCTTACTGCGTATCAAAGAAAAACATTCCACTTCATTTATGTGAGCCTGCAAGAAACAAAAGTATCTCTGAACACTTCATTGGCAAGATTACATCTAAATAAGTGATTTTCTTGCAAGCAGAGAAGAATGATGGCCTTAGATGACTTCGTGGACATGAGTTCTGGATTTGTTACGAGCTTGAAGCGGGGGATTTTGGAATCAGAACGGCAAAGGGGTATTTTATAGGGGAAAGTAGTATTTAATATTCTGTATCTAACAGCATCTCATGCATGAGAAGGAATATAATGACACTCACTGGTTGGAAGGAGTTTTCTGCTATTGCACCCGGTTCGTTCCAGGTCTCCAACAGCCAGGGACACAGCCAAACAATCTATTAACATGACCTTTAGCTGCAAGGTTGGGAAGGAAAAGTTTAATGACTGAATTTTCTGCTGGTTAATGTTGTTACAGTTGTTCTGAGCACTGAGAGTCAACCAGAATTGGAAAGACTTGTGTAAGTGGGAACTGAGCTAAAGAAACAAACAGCCCAAACCCTTCAAACCCTGGACCGGCCAGGCAAAGAACACTGCTAAAATGTTATACTTCAGAGAACAACACAAGGCTTTTTTAGCCACGATCAGCAAATTAATGAAAAAAAGAATTTCATGTCAGTTTTCTCCCTAAAAATAAATTGTAAGTGGAAGATTTTCATGCATTTGGGTTCCCTTTTTCTGGTAAGTAATACACGGTATATTGATTTGTTGCATGCAGCTTAGAAGGATTTTTTCCTGGTTTATACCATTTTAAACTCAAAAAATATTTTTCAGTGTCTTTCATGAAGATATCTAGCACACGAATCACCTTTATTATACTGCCCTACAGTGAAAATAGTTGGATATTCTTACACATCACTTCTCACTGCTAAAGCATCTATAAAGCTGGAAGTAAACAGCTTTTCTCTTCTCCTCCATAGACTTTCAGGGGACTAATTTTACTTTCAGCAAGATAATTTATGCTTATTGGGATGGGAGAGAATCTCATCTGCCTGGGAGGGGATTTTGGGAGGTGGAACCGTTTTTCACTCTGCAGTGGGTAGATGAAGGCAGAAGGTAGTTTTTGAATACAGGGAAAACGATGAAAAATGAAGATAGCAGAGGGGATTCTGTATCTAAGGGGCACCTGTAAAGCTTTTTAGTAGCAGTTGATGAGGGAGATGCAGTGCAGAAAAGGATCTGCCAGAGAGACTGTTGTGGGGCAGATGGAGCCCAGACTTCTACCTGGTTCCAGCTTCCATGTTTAGTTCTTTTCAAAGTGTGGTTGACCTAAAATCATATTTCTGTGAGCTCCAGCAGCTGTTACTCCCCAGTGCACAGAGGCTGCCAAAGGGTTAGGGAAAGGTTATCTCTGGTTCCTAAATTGATGCTCCATAGTCCTTGAGAGCACTTGCTCTGCAGGTGTTTCAGTAGAATCACGTTGTTACGACGAACCCTTTTACATCATGAAAGAGAAGAGGATGTTTGACGCGGGGAATTGAGAGGATTTGCACCAGCCTTTAATATACTCACAGTATATTCCACGCTGGGCACAAAGCAAAGTGGGGATTTTCACACTGCCTGCCCCAAAAAGGGTGTCGATTGGGCTGTGGGTGGTTTGAATGAGCCCCGCGGGTTCCTGTGGAGACTGAGGACACTTGCCAAATGGTTTTCTGCAGTGAGTGGGAAGTGTAGGAAACAGAGAGTGCAGGTGTCAATGATGTGAAGTGATTTATTTCCAAAGCAAACAGGACTGTCCTTTTTAAACTGTAGGTGATTCTCAGAGGCACAGGTTGAGTGCTTGTAGTGACTTTCGAAATGTTGATTTTTTCTAGCACAGTTGTGCTGCTGTGGGCAGCTGAGCTACCTCTTTCTCAAGCTCGCTCATGGATTTTACAGGAGCTTTTGTTTACAGTGCAGAGAGAGTTGACAGGAAGAGGAAGGCAGGAGATGGGATTTGAAGAAGGAAGGGACAGAGACCTTACCCTACGGTGACTTCACCGAGCACAATGTGTGCAGTCACAGCAGGTTCTGCCTCAACCTGTGATCAGATGTCTCAGGTTTATTTACACAAGCCACCTCGCTTGTGCAGAACTCCGACCTGCCCAGAATGAGAACTTTGTGAGACAGAGGATTGTTCAAACACTCACCCACATCATGGGCCGAGTGAAAAGAATTGCCTCAGAGAAACCGCAGCCGGGCTGCAGCTTGCAGCTTACCAAAGGTGAGACCTTCCTCTAGAACTGAGATTTGTGGACAAGTCATATAATCTCTGGAAATTAAAAACAGCATTGTGTGTAATCAATAGTGAGATTTTCAGGGGTTTTTTTTTTTTTTTTCCCCGCCTAATTTTATTTTATTGAATATGAAGTAGCTGTCCTTCACCTGAATGCAGATGGGGAAAGGGGAGCCTCTGGATGAATTTAGAACTATTGCTCTGGAGACACCTGGGTTGGTCTTTGAAACTGCTGAACTGGGATAAATTATAATTGGGATAAATTATAGAACAACAGTTTAAACCAGGACAGAAGTATTGGCATAGACTGTAACAGGAATTATACTGATTTTGGAAAATAATTAGCACATGTTTAAGGGCCATAGTAACTGGGGGCTTTTTGCCTGGGGCAAAAAATCCCACCGTCAATCTGTAGTTTAATTTGGAGTTTCCTTTCTGTAAAAGAACCTGGAGAAAAGCAGATGAAACTCCAGAGAGGCTAATAAATGAAAGAAACCTGAGGCAAAGAGGATATATCTGAGGAAGGGGAAGGCTATATATTAATCCTCCAAAGGAGCATTGAGGGGAGAGGCAACCTCTGAGATTATCTGGTGAATCTGGAGAAGGATAGATGGCTGTTTTCTTGAGCACCAAGCACAGCCCCATGGGTGGGTGTTTCTCTCATCTCTGAGTCATGCTCCTGTATTTAGCTTTTACTCAGGCTCCAGAAATGACTGGTCTGGGAGGTGCAATGGCTTAAATCCCTTGGGGAAGCAGGGTACGGTGGTCGCTCCCTCCGCTGGGAGAGCTCTTTGATCCTGTGGGACCACTTGGTTTAGGGGAAGGTAAACAATATGCTTCAAATGCAGGTATCCATTTCCTCACACCCTTCAAAAAATGCAGAGACTGCTTTCTCCTCCAAAAACCACAATCAAAACCTCTTCTCTCCTGGCTGGGTGAGTTCATGACCTTTTCATGCAACACTCACAAAACTTGTCTCCTCTCCTTGCTGGTTGGAACGATGAGCCCCAGCTGTTCCACAAACACACCATGATGGTTTCCTTTGTCTCTCCTGTATTAAGTCTTCAGGCACTCCACAGAGAATTTGTAAATGTTTCACTTCATTTTGTTTTCTTCCTAAACAGAGGATAAAACACGCAGGGGTAACTTTCTCCCTGGGTTCCTGTGTTTAAAAAAGGAAAAGTACAGCTGCCAGCAATATTTCAACACTTACAAAGCTCTCTTTTTTTTTTTTTTGGTCTGTTAGTGGTTAAAACCTAGACTGCATAATCAGTAACTGAACAGTGATGCTGCTGATAGCAAGTCCTTAAATTAGAATAGGCGCTGAAGCTAATTACTAGAGACCCTCCATAGGATGCCAGTGCTAGAGGATGAGGAATAACGCACAGGGAAACACAGTCTGTGATACTTGGGAGCTTCCAAAGATCTGTACTGGGACCAGTACTGTTCAGTATCTTCATCAGTTACACCTGGATTGAGTGAACCTTCAACAAGTTTGTGGAGGACACCAAGCTGAGTGAGGCAGTTGGCACGCCTGAGGGACAGGATGCCATCCAGAGGGACCTGGACAGGCTTGAAAAGGGGGCCCATGTGAACCTCATGAGGTTCAACAAGGCCAAGTGCAGGGTCAGTGGCAAGTTAAATATCAAATAATAATAACAATCATCATAAAAGATTCAATTCCAACTAGACATATCCACTATTGAGGACTGTAGAATCATAGGTTGGAAGTGAGCTTTCAGATCATCTAGCCCATCTGTTACAAGCACCCCAGCTGTTGCTATTAAACGTAATTGTGAAGAGCTCCAGCCAATCTAGAAGCCAGCTGGTTTTTAAAGTGCAATACTTGAGAGGCCCCTAAGAAGGGTAGGATGGTTCTTTCTAACCCTCAACAAAACAAGGAATTGTGAATTTGTCTTTTGTTTCAGTGGCCAGTCAGGCCCAATCCACGACAGATCTCCCAGTCATTGGAAAAACAGAGCTGACCCTTTGATCCCTCAGCTTTTGTACAGAGGATGATGCAGATGGGATGGAATACCCTGGGAGTCAGTTTTGGGTCACCTGTCCTGTCCCCACAGGTGCAACCCCTCTGCTTTTCCGCTTCCAACCCTCTAATGGGGCGCGTAACAAAGTTTGCTGACCTTGGTGGTTATAGCAGTGAGTGTAAGCAAGAGCCTCTCTGCACACCATTCCTTGGCATAAAACAGAAACAATCAGGTCTTACCCCTCTGGAAGCGGACAGGAGTCTTAAAAATATGCCCTAAATTCCAGAGAGTTCAGTTACTTAGAAGAGGCTTAGCTGAAAATTAAAATTACTGAACAGAAAATTGCTTCTCTTTCACCTCGAAGCAGGACAGCACTTCCCCAGAACACTTCCCCAGAGAGAAAGGGAACCCCCTTTGACAACGCACCAACTCCTGGTTCTTGCTTCCTCTCTTTGGTCTCTGTAGAAAGGGCAGTAACAAACAGCGAGATGTCATCTCTGTCAGAACATAAACATTAGAAATAGTGTGGTTTTCCAGAGAATTTCTGAGGTACAATAAGGTTGAAAAATGACTTGCTAAACAAACAAGGCCAAGTCAGCCTTAAAGCAACAATAAGGGAAAACAGACTTACTGAAATGAAATTGAGCTTAAACTCTGGAGAAAGATGAATTTCCACAGTTCACACGCACACACAGTGTGGTTAGTAACACGTTGGTGTGATGACTGTCATATTGCTCTAATAATTGTTATTGTAACTTAAACACAGCCAGTACCATCCAGTTATTTATGTTGGCATTTTGACTGTGTTTGAACAGAATGCAGGATTGATGAGCAGAGAAACTACTAAACCAGCATAATGAACACAAGAAAAAACATAGCAAGAGTGGTGCAATTAAGACAACTATGAATAGAAGAAAAGGAACAACGCCTCTCGGTCAGTTCCTTGGAAGTGATTTCCCCAGAGCAGGGAGAAGGAACGTCTGCAAGGTGAGGTGACAGAAGACAACCCCCCAAAAATCATCGAGGTGGGATACTTCTTCCTGAGTCATCCGAGGGCTGCTCTAGACTTGCCATGTCTGGATTGGCATCTTTTGTGTCATCTGCGATTCTTCTAGAGTTACCACTTCCGAGGCTGAGACAGGACAGTTTCTTGGCCAAACGCCCCCAGCCCTGCCCAGTGCCTTGGTTGGTACAGACAGTTTCAACTTGTCACTTCCCTGTTCTCCAAACGGTGATTGGTGCTGTGGGGAGCCCAACCCTTCAGCTTTTCTGGCAGAACTAATAGAGACAGGCAAGGATTAACAACCCGAAGCCTGAGAAAAACCCTAGAGATGAGCAGCTCCTTTTGTAGAGCACTCCACCTACCTGTTCTGCCAGCATTTCGGGTCATAGCAGGATTTTTTTTGGTGTTTGCACTGATGCTTTCAGAATTACTGTTTCTCTGAGACTTGACACTTATGGCAGAACATGTGATTCCTGTGGATTCACCACTACCTGGAAACACCTCAATGCTATTGTCACCTCCACCCCTCAAAGACAGGGGAGTTAAGCTTGCACAGCCCCACATGAAAGTTTCTCCAGCCTGGTCATCACTCCAGCATTTGTGTGCAACCACTAGCACCTGCTTCCCATCCTTGTGTCCCTTTGTCACCAAAACCGGTGACGTGTGGAGCTGCAGGAACTGAGGGCACAGCCTGTACTCTCACCCAGGTACTCTCTGTCAAACACAGCAGAACTTAAAAAAAACAAACTCAAAACAAACCAACCAACCCCTTAAGTATATTTTTAGCCATTGTGAATGCTGGATGTATGCTACGCCTCTCAGGAAATTGTGGTTACTATTAACTTATTAACTACTAATTATTAAACTAATTAGTTGAGGCTTAATGCCTGTCTCTTAGATAGCTGAACTCAGTAAGATAATGAATCCTGCCTGTGAGTTGTATTAATTGGCATGTGAATGCCCTAAGAAAAATATTTAAACAACAAATTAATAATTTAGTCGAGAATTTCAAGTAGAATGGTGCTTGGTTTTTTCCAGTCCAAAGACCTAATGTCTTGATTAGAGAATTCTGATAAGGTATCTCCTCAGGATTTTGTTCAAACCATGAAGTGTGTTAGGACATTAACAGAAAACAGGATGCAGCTAGAACCTATCAGAGAGTTAGTTTACCTGCCTTAAGCTCCAGTAAGGGCAGCTCTAAGTGTTACAGTGGGTCAGCATTACATGTGAAATTATACATTGAATGAGATTAGCTACTGTGATTATTGCTTTTTAAAATACCTTTTCTTCTGAGCAATTTAAGGAGCTACTAGTTTGATTTAGAATTTAATTCTCCGTGTTGAACTCCAAAAGATTTCTGGTGACTGGCTCATTTCCTCAGCCTGTCCAGGGCCCTCCAGGTCATAGAACCATAGTATGGTTTGGGATGAAGGGACCTTAAAGATCATTGAGTTCCACCCCCCTGCCATGGGCAGGGACACCTCCCACCAGACCAGGTTGCTCCAAGCCCCATCCAGCCTGGCCTTGAACCCCTCCAGGGATGGGGCAGCCACAACTTCCCTGGGCAACCTGTTCCAGTGTCTCACCACCCTCACAGGAAAGAATTTCTTCCTGAGATCTGATCTAAATCTCCCCTCTTTCAGTTTAAAACCATTACCCCTCGTCCCTCTGCACGGTGGCACAACCGTCTGAGTTTCATGTTGTCTTCCAGTTTGCTGAGGGTGCACTCTGTCCCATCATCCACCTCATTAATGAAGATGTTAAGTGGTATTGGTGTCATTATCAACCCCTGGGGTACATAACTGGTGACCAGACTCCAGCTGGAGATCCTGCTGCTGGTGACAACCCGTCCAGCCCCCCTCACTGTCCATTTACCCAGCCCATACATTATCACTTTGTTGGGATGTAATGAGGGACGGTGTTGGAAGCCACGTTAAAGTCACGACAAACATCTACTGCTCTCCCCTCTCCAGTGAGCCAGTCATCCAGTCACAGCAGGCTATCAGGTTATCAAGTGTGATAAATCTGTGGTGACCGCTCCTAATTGCCTTTTTGACCTTCATACATCTGGAAATGGCTTCCAGGTTTGGTTGCTGCACCACTTTCCCAGGGACTAAGGTGAGGCTGACCAGCCTTGAGCTCCCCTTCTCCTCCCCCTCCCTTTTCTTGAAGGTGGAAGTGACATTTGCTTTCTTCCACTTCCCAGGACCCTTTCCCTTGTTGCCATGACTTTTTGAAGATTATCAAGTCCCCTCAAATAGCATCAGCCAGCTCCCCCCGGTGCTTGTGGTCATCAGGTCCATCCCTCCCTCCCTCCCATCAGGTCCCAGGGACTCGTCAGTATCTGGTATATTTCAATTTTTCCTAACCTGGTCCTTCTCCAGTAAGATTAACTCTTCCTGGGCCCACACCTTCTCATAGGTCTCAGGTGCCTGGGATCCCCCTGAAAAAGTATTACCAGTAAAGCCTTGAGGCAAAGGTGGCATCATCAGCTTTTGCCATGTCCTCTGTCACCAGGTGTCCTGCCATCCAGCAGCCACCCATGTTTTCCTTAGTCACCCTTTTGCTGCTGATGTACCTGGAGAAGCCTTTCTTGATGCCCTTCTTCCACCTCTTGCACTCGTCCTTCTTATGCTTGACTTTTGTCTGGAGTTCCTGGTTCATCCACATATGCCTCGTCTACATCTGCTTGGTTTTCTGCTCACTGGAATGGACCATTCTTGAGCTCTGAGCTTAAGAAGTTAAGGAGATGACCCTCTGGAGATTTCTTAAGAGCTTCATTATTTTTGATGGATGCTATAGGTAGACAAACACCATGACTATTGTGAACCAACATTAACAAAGGTTCACCTGAGCTTCCAAGATAACTGCGGGAAGACAATTTGCTGGAATTGCTTTTATGACAGTTCTTAGCTGTCATGTTCATACATCTCACTACAGGTTGCACACAAGGTTTTTTCTTTCCCAAGATTATAGGACTTCTCTGCAAATCTCAGTTCTAGAGGACATTCTCACCCTCAGTGAGCTGCAGCCCATCTGTGGTTTCTCCAAGGCAATTCTTTTCACTCGGACCATGATGCGTGTGAGCGTTTGAACAATCCTTTGTCTCACAAAGTTCTCATTCTGGGCACATCAGAGTTAGGCACAAGTTATGTTAGATGTTGGAAGCACCTGGAGATAAAGGGAATCGTGACAAGCAGCCATGGCCTTTTTCTTAAGGAGGTGACCCCCGAGAGGCAGGAGGCTGCGTGGGATCAGGTCCGTAGCCACGCAAAGACACCGCTGTTTGATGGTACTTCTGTCTCTAGTGCTACACACTATTAACCCTGAAGGGAGAAATCCTGAAGCTGTTTGCCTTAAACTTGTTTAAGCAACTTTGCAACGCTGTTGAAACCTAAATCAAACAATAAAATACAACTGCTGCTTTATAAACTTTAGTACTGCATTTTCATCTGGCAATAAATTTAAAATTTCCCAGCAAGGATAACTTGTAAAATATTCTGTTTCCCTCAAGGATAATCTGCCTCTTTAGTGAAAGCACCTCCTCTTCTACTGAAAGCAGGACAACAGGGAGCAGCTCAGAAGGGACCAGGCAGCACCTCAGCGACCGCCCAGCAGATGGCAGCACAGGCACACGGACAGACCGGGACACCTTCGCCACAGAATTCATAATAATAATAAAAAAAATAAAATGCAAAGTCTCTTCCTCTCAACTCAATTTCAGTGCTGGTTATGAGGAATCAGGATAAGTTACATTCTTTGTATCGTGCCTCCTGGTATTGCCAACTTACCTTTTCCTGCAGGAATTCCCATCATTTCTAGGCAAAGCAAAGACTGAATATTCTGCCCGTTTCATTTGCCCCAAAGGTGTTTAACTGCAGCCCTTCATTTGCAGACAACACTCGGGTGAGAAATAGTATTGTCTAAGCCACTTGAGATACAATTTTTCTGTTTCACCTCTCTCACTATATAAAATTTGATGTTTTATGATTCACAAGGAGTAGTGAAATGGATCTAAGGAAGTATTGATTACAAGCCACTGAAATTGCCTGTTAGATTGTTGCCCTTCAGTTTAAATACAACTTTAAATAATTTCTTAGTTTAAGCATCCCGTTATTCTCCCCAAATCTGCCACTTTTATAATGGTTACTATAGATTCTGTCCGTCCTTCAGGGGATGACTGGATATTACATGTTCTTCAAATCACTGAGTGAACAGTGAGAAGATTAATACTTTTTCATAGACTGTTTTTGTATTCATGTATTCCATGAATGCAGTCACATACCATTAATAACTAAATTTAGCTTTTATTAAACACGACCGCACAACAGAAGAGACAAATACAATTTATTTCATTTCTGCATTTTATTCTGAAACCACTGACCTCATTTTTAGGACTAGAGATCTCGTGGGTAAAAATGAAAGGATGAAACAAAGGTACTACAGATCAGTAATTCCAAAGCATTCTTCTGCCATCTAGGAAAAGAAATCATGGATTACATTTTGCTGTGTGAAATCCTGTATTCTATTTTGCTTTAATGAAAAAATTGTATCCAGTACTTGGAAGTTGTATTTTATATCAGAACATAATCTAGATCATCAGTTTCCTTTGACCTCTAGCTTTTGGTTAAGAAAAACCCCAAACACCTTTGTTTTAACGTTGGTGTTTTTTTTTTTAATCTAATGACAAAGAGAACAGGAAAATGCAACTTGCATTTAAAGATGAAAAAATCATGCCCCAGGGCTTAACGAGCTTTTAGACAGAAAATGAACAACTACACCTAGATTTGCTTCGTCTTCCAGGTACCTTGTGATAAACCTGCTCAGAAGTATTATGAAAATGAAAATTGCATCCTGCTTTAAGTCAGTTTGTTTTATGGATAAACTCATCTGCTCTAGGTCAGCAAACCTTCACTTTTTTTTAAAAAAAAGCATTAACATATTCCAAACTGTATTTTAGCACACTTAGACTAATCTTACGGAACAGTCTTGCAAAACAAACACCCAACTGTTACAGAGAAAGCAAAAAGTAATTTTTAGGCTCGTTGTAATGCCTCTTCCTCTGAAAGACTTCTAGAAATACTTAAGCGTTCAAGAAAATGAGCTTGTGTAGCTGATAAAGATCATTTCCTCCTTTGTGCTGCCCTTCTGACTGGTGAACGATGCACTGAGAATCCACCTGATCAAAAGAAGCAGGACAGAAGTCAGAAGGCATTGATTGCATCCTGAATACTGTTTTCCTGTAGAACAATGTTAAGGAAGAGCTCTGGCAGTCTGACATTGTACAGGCATTTCAGTCCCACAGCACACATCTCAGCATCACCGCCAGCACTATATAAAATTCTGTATCCTGTAGAACAATGTTAAGGAAGAGCTCTGACAGTTTGACATCGTACAGGCATTTCAGTTCCACATCTCAGCATCACCACCAGTACTATAAAATTCTGTGTATCTCAGAATAATATTCCACAATCAATTCCAAAGCATTTTACGTGATGATTTAAGAAAGACATCCTGAGATTCTTCAGACATAATGGAGAAAACAAGGCTTGCAAACTGACTTGTTATAAAAAAAGCTAAACACCAATATTATCTTCATAATACCGAGGATAACTGCATTTGAAATATGAAAATAGAATCACTCTGGCTTAAGGCAATATAACTCGACACACTCTAACCCCTCAGTGAATGCCCACTAGAAACGTGTGCCCTTGGTGCTCTCTCAGTGTTGTCAATCTTCACAAGGAGAGACCTAAACCCCCATTTATGTGCCTCGGGGTGGGAGATGCACAGGGAGGACGCCTGTAGAAATCCTCCTGCTGCACTCGCTAATTCCTTGTTCCCTTTTAGTTAAGGAAACACAGGAAATCCAAGAAATCTAGTTGCCTGCAGAGGCTCTTACAGAAAGAAAGGTTAAGATTTCTAACAGAGCAGGAAGGCAGACTCTTCAGCTTTACAAAACCCTCCTTGATTTCAAGAAAACTGCCCTTTATGTCATCCCAGCACATTCATTTTAACACAAGCCCCATTTCTATCTGTTTAAAAGGGCAAAGCCAGGTGAAAGCACAGCAGCCCAAACCAAAACTAAAATGCACAGCATTCAGATAAATCCTAAACAAGAACATCATATCATTTTCTTTTAGGGCACAGCTGCTTAATACAAAGAATATAAAATTTTAACTTCAAACAAATGGAAAGTTGACTTTACAATCTCTCAACTTAAAAATCATGGAATGTTCTGTTTGAAAAGGCTAAATATTTGTATCTACAGAACTAAAAAACAAAGCAAACCACCCAAACTAAACACTCTACAAAAAACAAAAAGTTGATCCCTTTACCTGATTCCACGCATATGGCTTCTTATACCATGTAGGAACAATTATATCTCGAGGTTTTGGTCTGCAGATTAAACTGAAATGATATAAAAACAGCCTTAATAAATACACTTGTATTGGCTTAATCCTAAACAAGAAGAACATACAATTTTCTTTTAGGGCACAGCTGCTTAATACAAAGAAGAATTAAAATTTTAACTTTACCTGATTCCACGCATATGGCTTCTTATACCATGTAGGAACAATTATATCTCGAGGTTTTGGTCTGCAGATTAAACTGAAATGATACAAAAACAGCCTTAATAAATACACTTGCATTGGATTTATTATAAATAGAAAGGAGTTGCTATATTGGATACAGCTGGGCAGTTAGGAGGTGGCTGTGCTGAAGGGAATCTTAAATGTACTTGCTAATCTAGTCTGATTTGTTCATGTCTGTACTTTGCCTCTCTACTATAAGAAGTCAAAATACAAATTTTCACAAGGACATTTTAAATTTAAAAAAAAAATCCTTATTTTCTTTGAAAGAAAGTGCATTTTGATACACAAAGTACTAGAATTTCAGCTGTCCTTTATTCCATAGGATTTCTGCACGCTTATTCACTAGAATGTATAATACAGCTATTTTTAGGGTATTTTGTTTTGCATGACAACTCAATTACTATAGATTGTCTGTCTGCTCCAGTTATTTCCTCAAGCTGTGCAAAGTACAACAGTAGTAGACTTTAATTAATTCTGTCTAGATGTGTTTTTCAAACACTCATTTTAGTCTTAAGTAGTGGTGACATGTTGTAAATACAATTAGCTTTCAAAAAAATGGAAAAAAGTTATAAAAGACTGTTCAGGCTAAATTTTTACATATTTACTCTTATGAATAAAAATTTAGGTTTTTTCCAAGACATAAACTAAAGTATAATCAGAAAAAAAATATTCAAAACCACTGAAGTTTTTACACAAAGGAAAAAACATCATGACAATAACCAGATTGTCTCTCCTGAAAAAGGTAAATAAATTAAAAAACCCAAATAAAATTAGAAAAATGAGCTGGAGGATTGTTGGAACAGAATCAGTAAAATCACAAAGATTTCCAGAGAGAAAATGCTACCACAGAAAGGTATAAAATCCTTAAGGAAAAAAGCCTTGGAAGGCTGATGAGAATGATTGAATCAGGCAGCCAGTGGTGCCTGAGCCCGAGAAGACGTCGACGCTGCACAGGATGCTCCTTCCCCTCCCACTGGGTTGAATCTCTGAACAATCCACCCAAAAAAGGTGCCAAAACAGTAGAGAGTATTTAAATATGTCTGAAGAAATAGCGGTGACATTTTTGTGCCTTGAATTTTGCATATTGGTGCGTTATCTATTGTTCAATGTTATACTGAAGCGTTGATGTCCAAGTACGAGCTCCTGTTATGCTCAGTCACCTCCAGAGAGGTTTTGGATAAGCAGAAAAAAAGCAAAACCCCACTTTCCTGGGCTTCTCCCCACACTTATTACCGCGTGAATCACAGAAGCCATCTCCATTCAGTGAACACCACGGTGCTACCACCTGGCAGTGTCCAAAGGCAGCGCAGACACCGGCTGCCCTGAGGTACTTGGACACAAACAGGACATTAAATCCCGCATCAACAGCACGCTCCACAGCTGGCATTTTACCAAGAGTTAACAGAATCAGTAAAATCACAAAGATTTCCAGAGAGAAAATGCTACCACAGAAAGGTATACAATCCTTAAGGAAAAAAGCCTTGGAAGGCTGATGAGAATGATTGAATCGGGCAGCCAGTGGTGCCTGAGCCCGAGAAGACGTCGACGCTGCACAGGATGCTCCTTCCCCTCCCACTGGGTTGAATCTCTGAACAATCCACCCAAAAAAGGTGCCAAAACAGTAGAGAGTATTTAAATATGTCTGAAGAAATAGCGGTGACATTTTTGTGCCTTGAATTTTGCATATTGGTGCGTTATCTATTGTTCAATATTATACTGAAGCGTTGATGTCCAAGTACGAGCTCCTGTTATGCTCAGTCACCTCCAGAGAGGTTTTGGGGTTTTGCTTTTTTTCTACTTATCCATTTTCCTGGGCTTCTCCCCACACTTATTACCACGTGAATCACAGAAGCTGCCTCCATTCAGCGAACACCACGGTGCTACCACCTGGCAGCGTCCGAAGGCAACGCAGACACCGGCTGCCCTGAGGTACTTGGACACAAACAGGACATTAAATCCTGCATCAACAGCACGCTCGACAGCTGGCATTTTACCAAGAGTTTTGCAAAAGTGAAAGGAGAATAGTTTCCCGTCTTTTTTCACTGATGCTCCTTTACTCAGA